ATCTGAAAGTAAAGCAGTTGGCTGAGAAGCATGGATGTACCACTTCACAACTTGCACTTGCCTGGGTTCTCCATCAAGGAGATGATGTAGCACCTATTCCTGGTAAGTCCGCGTTCTGAAATTTTCAACATCCACTTCTCTTCTTGATAACCTGAAGATATTTCAACTAACAAGGCCCTTTCTTTCACATTTTGTAGGAACAACCAAGATCAAAAATCTTGACAGCAACATTGATTCACTGGGGGTGAAGCTCTCAGAAGAAGATTTAAAAGAGATTTGTGATGCGATCCCCATAAATGAGGTAGTAGGTGGTCTTGTACCGGACAATTTAAGTCACCTCACGTGGAAGTTTGCTAACACACCACCAAAGGACAGCAAGATTTCAACTTAAATTAAACTAGGGATGCAAATCTGCAGCAGAGTATGACGTTTTTGGTGAATGGACCCTCTTCAGCAACTGAAACTATTGAACGACTAAAAGTTTGTGTTGATGAGTTAGTAAGCTTTGGATGTAATAATGAAGGTGGTTGGCATAGTAGCTCTGCTGTTGAATGCATATCAGAGAAATGAATGCATTTACTTGTATGGTTTTTCTGTCTGTGCATTGTTGGTAGTGATCCCCAATGCTTGTCGTTGTCAACAGCAAAGGTTAAGATGCTGTACAAGAACTATGTTGTTATTTAGTGCTCTAATAAAACAACTCATCTTGATTTCTTCTTTTTTCTCATTTTAACTTACTGATATATACACAGTTAAATAGGTGAATTCTGTAATGAATTAAACAAAAAACATAAACACAAAGGAGTAAATTTGAATAAAAAAAAAGGCAACTTCAGAAATATATTTATACGTTAGGGACGAAGATCAAGATCAACAAAATATTACGGTTTGACTTGTGATCACATGATCAATTAGTCAAAATCTCACGTTAAAATATTTAATAATAAAATTTAATAGTATTAAAATTAAAAATTATAATTAACGAATTAAAAAAACATAATAACTTAGTTTACACAAATTATTATATCAGATTAAATTATAATTTTTATACACTATAGGACTAATTACATAATTTTATTTTTTACTTTTACATTTTGTTGAAATGCCCAAGTGGCAAGCTCCTATTGAGCAATAACCTTTTGACCTGCAGTTGAAATTTGTTTCAGTTTTTGTCTAAAAATCCTCACAGTTATTAGATTCATGTTTACCTTAAAACCCATTATATGAAAAATGTGGACTTCTGCATAGATGGTAAGTAAGTAAACTGTGACGGCAGAGTGATTGTTCAGTGTTGAGGTTTTTCAGGTAATCCAAGGTATAAATTTAGTTGACGTTAAGCTGAGATTTGAAAAATGACAGGCTTTGATCAAGTGGATGATGATCTTGTCCCCTCAAAAGGTAAAAATCATAAGTTTTCTTTCCATATTTTTACAAAATCTGTAATATGAGAAATAAATTTATGAAACATATATCTGTAATATATATTTCGACATAAAAGTATAGTGGAAATCATATGACAAGGATTTCATAATATTAATACATAATCTTATCTTAATCCCTGGGATTTTCTCTCAACTTCCAGCCTCAATCTTTCTACCAATATTTTCTTCTGAGCGTTAACTCTTGAAGAGAAACTGTCCTAACTAATAATTTTCTAATAAGCTTTTAAAATAAAAGATATTTTACTATAAGTCTACCTCTAATTTTATAACTCTAATTCAAAAAGGGGGCTATTTGTCAAATTTGAGATTTTATGCAATACATCAGTGTGTCTATCATTTGGGAGGGTATTGCAGAAAGCGACTAGGAGAAGCCTGAGTTCAATAACACAAGAACATAGAAAAGGAAAGAAAGATGGTTGAGGAGCAGCAGAGAAGTCAGATTCCTAGAATGAAACTGGGAAATCAAGGACTTGAGGTTAGACTTTGTTCTTCTTAAGAGTAGTCAAGGGAATGGTTGTTATGAGTTGCATATAGAATGTTTATGAGGTGATAAGCCCTGAATTTTAATTAATCTTTACAAGTGTTCCTCAGTTTTTGGTTGAACTGCTGATATACAGAATGTAAGATACTGGATATTCTGATTCTACTCTCTTAAAAACATGCTAGAACTCAACTTTTTTAACTCGATCAGAATTTAACTTTCAATCAAGTTCACACGATTTCTTTCCCAGAACAGTATCTGCTGTCTAACTCTCTCATTTCTGTTGTAAAATCCACTGTTTCTGTAGGTTTCCAAGTTGGGGTTTGGCTGTGCGGGACTTTCTGGAGTCTACAATGATCCTCTCCCTGATGATGTTGGCATATTGACCATCAAGCATGCTTTTGATAGGGGAATCACTTTCTTCGATACATCAGATATCTATGGACCCGAAACTAATGAAATACTGGTTGGAAAGGTAGCATGCTAGGTCAAATTGTCTAGAGTACTTTCGAGTTGAATATCAACAGCTTCCTGATTTGCGTGTTAATGGGAATCCAAGCCCTTAAATAAATGCATTTTTGTTTATCACATTGATACCATTTTAATTGTTACTGTTCTTGGGTTGTTAACGAAATTCATGAATCTCTGAAACCAATATTCTTTTTTCCAGGCACTGAAGCAGCCACCACGAGAGAAGGTGCAGTTAGCCACAAAATTTGGTATTACAAAAATGGATACTACTGGTGTCATGGTAAATGGTACTCCTGAATACGTCCGCGCCTCTGTTGAGGCTAGCATGAAGCGCCTTGATGTGGAATACATTGATCTCTACTATCAGCACAGGGTCGACACCACCACTCCCATAGAGGATACTGTAAGAGCTGGAGCAGAAAGCATCAAAGATTTATTTCTTCCATAGATTTTCCTTATTTCCATACTCTCTCATTAATTGCAGGGCTATCATCTTTAGCTGGTTGAACTTGAATTAACCTATTTGGATTTAACTTTCTTTCTTAGATGGGTGAACTCAAGAAGTTGGTGGAAGAAGGGAAAATAAAGTACATTGGTTTATCTGGAGCTAGCCCTGAAACTATAAGGAGAGCACATGCGGTTCATCCCATAACTGCTGTACAAATGGAGTGGTCCCTCTGGACTCGTGACATTGAGGAAGAAATAGTCCCCCTTTGCAGGTTTCTTCTTGTATCTTGAATCATTAGAACTAATAAAAGAGTAAAGGTTACTTGAAATTCAAAGTTGGAACTTTAAACTTGATAGTGATTTTCATTTCCCAATTTACAGGTTAGTTGAGTACTGGACTTGAGACTCACCTATGCAAGCCAAAGCATGAGAAATGCCTAGTTAAATGTGTTCACCTATGCAGGCAACTCAGAATTGGGATTGTTCCATACAGCCCTATTGGTCGTGGTTTCTTTGGTGGCAGAGCAGTTGAGGAAAGTGTGCCTGCAAATAGTTTTCTGGTGTGGAAACTCATCTATTTATGGCTTTCACCTATCCTTAATATTTTAAAATGACAAGCCTATCTAACTGGTAGCTTGTTTGACTGATTGCCAACTTCTACTTTCAAGGGAATTTTCCCAAGGTTTCAAGGAGAAAACTTGGCCAGAAACAAGATCTTATATCTGAAAGTAAAGAAGTTGGCTGAGAAGCATGGATGTACCACTGCACAACTTGCACTTGTCTGGGTTCTTCATCAAGGAGATGATGTAGCACCCATTCCTGGTAAGTCCACTTTCTGTAATTTTCAACATCCACTTTTCTCTTCTTGAAAGCCGACAGATATTTCAACTAAAACGACCCTTTCTTTCAAATTTTGTAGGAACAACCAAGATCAAAAATCTTGATTGCAACATTGATTCACTGAGGGTGAAGCTCACAGAAGAAAATTTAAAAGAGATTTGTGATGTGATCCCCATAAATGAGGTAGCAGGCGCTCTTTTGCCGGACAGTTTAAGTCATCTCTCATGGAAGTTTGCTAACACACCATCAAAGCGTAGGAAGATTTCAACTTAAATTAACCTATGGATGCAAAGTCTGCAGCAGAGTATGATATTTTTGGTGAATGGACTCCCTCCAGCAACTGAAACTATTGAAAGACTAGAAGTTTATATTGATGAGTTAGTAAGCTTTGGATGCAATAATGAAGGGCATTACCAAAAATAAATAAGCAGGCTAGTTAGGATAGTAGCTTTGCTGTTGAATGGTTATCAGAGAAAGAATGCATTTCCTTGTATGGATTTCCTGTCTGTTCTTTGTTCCTAGTAATCCCCAGTGCTTGTATTTGTTAACAGAAAAGGTTAAGATGCTGTATAAGAACTATGTTTTCATTTAGTACTCTAATACAATTCATCTTGATCTCTTATTTTTTTTCTCATTTGAACTTAATATATATACACATTTCTATAGTCGATTTCTGAAATAAATTAAACGCAAAAAACATATACACAAAGGAGTAAACTTAGATAAAAAAAAAAAAGCGACTTAAAAATGTAAATATATTAATGACAAATATCGATTAAGCTTTATCAGCGCGACTTCTCTGATATATCCAATGCAATAAAGATGAGACCAGACAGCTCCGTCTGCAAATTGCGTTGGGAAGGAAGATCGGCATTGAAATAGACGACTCAATTGAGAAGCAACGCAGGAGATGCCCATGATATTAGCGCACCAGTGGTCTAGTGGTAGAATAGTACCCTGCCACGGTACAGACCCGGGTTCGATTCGCGGCTGGTGCATGTTTGTTTTTTCAGGAGGATATATCCTTTTTTTAACTTTCACTTTTGTTGAAATGCCAAGTGGCAAGCACCTATTGAACAATATATCCTTTTGACTTTCAGTTAAAATTGGTTTTCCTCTTCTTTCCTTCCCTTCAACTTCAAGTTTTCAACCCTTTTCCAACAGCCGCTTGACTCAACTACTTCCAACACATTCACAATCTAAGAAACAGAACAAAAGAAATCAAACCAGACATAAGTTGGAGCTGGGATTATCAGACATGTCACAAAAAGAAAACTTGTTCCAAATCCCAAGAGTGAAACTGGGCAGTCAGGGACTTGAGGTAAGCTTCCAAGTTTCACTTTTTCTTCTCTTTTGATTCCTTGAGCGCCCATTTCAGTTTCTGTCTCAAAATCCTCACTTTCATTGGATTCATGTTTCTCTTAAAACCCATTGTATGAAAAAAAATGTAAACTTTTGCATTGATGGTAAGTAAGTAAACTGTGAAGGGAGAGTGATTTTTCCAGTGTTGAGTTTTTCAGGTAATCCAATGTATAAATTTAGTTGACATTAATCTGATATTTGAGAAATGACAGATTTTGATCGAGTGGATGATCTTGTCGCCTCAATATATATTTCAAATGTGTTAGCTTTATCAAAAGGTGTAAATTTCCTAAAGTTACTTGTATTTGAAGCTTTTTCTTCTGATCTAAGACAATAACTGCAACTGACTAGTGAATGTATTAAGAAATCAAGGCAATGGAGTTTTGTGTTATATGGAAAGAGTAGGAACGGCTGAAACACCCTTAATCAGGATAGAAAGTTAAATACATTTCCCTGAAAATAAGGGTTGTTTAAGTTGTCTTCACCTCTTAGAGGTTCCTGACAGTGGCAGGATCATAGGACTAATCAAGATGCTTGAGTTACAAAAAGGAGCTTGTTTTTTAGTTTTCTTCTGTTCCTGATTTTTACTATTCTCTATCTTTGTTTTTCCAACAGGTTTCGAAGTTGGGTTTTGGATGTATGGGTCTAACAGGAGTCTACAACTCTCCTCTCTCTGAGGAGGAAGTTATCTCAATCATAAAAGATGCCTTTGCTAAGGGAATCACTTTCTTTGATACAGCTGATGCGTATGCAGCTCATACCAATGAAGTTTTGGTGGGGAAGGTGAGCATCTCTGTGTGGGAGTTAGAAGATAGATGTTTAGAACAGCTGCATTTGGAATATTTTTTTTCTAATTGTTAATAACATGCTAAATAACACTCCTCTAGAACAGTAGTTATCCATACGAAAATCTTCTACAAAATCTATGTCAAAATGAATTCTGTGGTTCTGGTTAATGAAATGGGATAGCTACCAGTACTTCAAATGCCTTATGATGATCAATGGATAATTTTGTGATGTAAACTGAAGAGGAGTGTATAACTTTCAGGCCTTGAAGCAGTTACCAAGAAAAAAAATTCAATTGGCCACGAAGTTTGGCATTGTAGCAATGCAAGCTAGTGGTATGATTGTGAATGGTAGCCCTGAGTACGTCCGCTCATGTTGTGAGGGTAGCTTGAAGCGCCTTGATGTGGATTACATTGATCTCTATTATCAGCATCGAGTGGACACATCAGTACCTATAGAAGAAACTGTGAGTAAATCTCTTCCTCCTTATGCTATGCAGCTGAGAAACTGATCTATTTTCATCTTTTTTAGTCGCTGGTAAAGGGTTTTGAAACCAAATTCTTCTTAACATGCAGATGGGTGAACTGAAGAAACTGGTTGAAGAGGGGAAAATCAAGTACATTGGATTATCCGAATGCAGTCTAGACACAATAAGGAGAGCACATGCAGTTCATCCCGTCACAGCTATCCAAATGGAGTGGTCCCTCTGGACTCGTGATATTGAGGATGAGATAGTCCCACTTTGCAGGTTTGCTCAATTCCCTTTCGAGGTTCTGAAGAAATTGTCCATGTTTAAATTAGATGTTGACAAATACATAGGACAGTGTTTGATGCATTTAACCTTGCAGGGAGCTTGGTATTGGAATAGTTCCATATAGTCCCCTTGGCCGTGGCTTCTTTTGTGGCAGAGCAGTAGCGGAAAGTTTACCTCCAGGCACCTTCTTGGTATGCATATTCAACCTCAGTATCTAGCAGATCTAATATCTTTTTTTTTTCTTTTACCCTGAAAGAAAATGAACTTTTTCTCATGAAAAGTTTTGGATCTTCTTGTTATAATTTATTTTTATATGTTCAGACAATTTTCTATTAGATTTAATCATTTCAAGATGTTCTTCACTTGGTTCAGAGGAAATTGTTCTAGTTAATGACAGACAGCTTTTTCTTCTTTAACTATAAGGCTTCACATCCCCGATTTCGAGGAGAAAACTTGGACAAGAACAAGAACATTTACACTCGAATAGAAGAGCTAGCCAAGAAGCGACAATGCTCTCCTGCTCAACTGGCGCTGGCATGGGTTCTCCAACAAGGGGATGATGTTGTACCTATTCCTGGTGAGAGGTTTTGTTATCATTTCCATCAGCTTATGCCACATTATGGTTAAAACGAGAGAACCGAACAAAATGTAATTAAGGTCCTTTGAAGTATTATATGATGCCATTAATTTCCAGAAAAAATAAAATAAAATATACAGTATGTATACTATTCTATTCTGGAATCTTCAGTGGTATTGGGGAATTCAAGCTATTAGTTTATATCCTGCCAATTTGATTAGCATAGCCTATCATTTTACAAAAGCAAGACTAGAGAGTTATAATGGAGAACTAACAATCAAACAATCATCCAATAAAGTATATAGAACTTGGGGAGAGAACTTTGAAAGTACCCCAATATGTTGTGCTTCAGTTATTTTCTGACTTTTGAAGTCTGATCTTGCAATCTTGGACACATCATTCTAGAATTTAGTTACCTTATGCTATCTCTACTGCTTTTCTTTCATTATATGAACATCACTTACTGTATTCTTACTTTACATTTGCCTTGAATTTTCGCAGGAACAACTAAGATCAAGAATTTGGATCACAACATTGGCTCCTTGACAGTGAAACTCACAGCAGAGGACCTGAAAGAAATTTCTGATGCTGTGCCCATTGATGAGGTAGCCGGGGATAGAAACTATGATAGCATGAGGAAAGCATCATGGAAGTTTGCAAACACACCACCAAAAGATTTTGGGGTCTCAGCTTAAGACACTTGTGGTTGTTGTTCATCTCACTTGGCAACAGTTGATGAATAAGGCAATTGAATTTGAAAAGGCTAAGGCATGTTCAGGAGCTGTTTGTATCATGCATCGAAAACATTTGGCCGGAGACCTTTATGAGTTGCTAAACCTTCTAAATTTATGGAAATTATATTACTCTGATTGCTTAGAATTGTCTGCTTGGGCAAAATTATGATGAACTATACCATAATCCAAGACCTAACATCAGGCTCAAACACCCGAGCAGAGAATAGATCTATTTTCTGAGGCAAAAATAATTACAATATGAGGTAAATCCATAGTGGTATGTGCTTCAAGAAAATGCAGCCATGAACAGAAGCTAGTGATCATTACGAGAGTATTGTCTAGCTGAGAATTAAAATTTCTAGTAAGCTACAAATAAAAGTTTAGGCTGCGGAAGAGGTGTGCAAGCATGTCAATGGTCGCCTAGGATGCCACTCTAGCCACTTGACACCTGGACTTATAACCCATATTTGATAGTTAAAACAGTGGTTGAGAAATAAAGTCTAAATTCTATGTTAAAATACCCAATTTATGGCTATGCCTTTCAGGTATTACAGCTAAACATGAAATGTGAAGAACTATTCACAAAGCTTCTGGTTCCACTTGTTCAGGGTCCAGCCTCGGAATTGGAAACTGGAAACAAGCAGCACTTACGTAACTACCCTTTTCTTCATTCAGCATCAAAAGACAAACTACAGTCCACCACTCAGGAGCATTGTTGGCTCCAAGCGCAAGATAGCTTCATCTTCACATAGCTTTGCCATTTCCTCCTCTGCCAAGGTTACCATTACCGTCCGTGCAAGCCCTCCTTCTGGTGACGGCATCACCATAATCAACCCTTCACCTTCCACATTCCCCACATGGCATGCCACATGAGCAGGTCTCACATTTTCCTCAAACATAGTAGCATACATCAAGGATTGATCCCCATTAATCATATGTTCCATGCTAACACAGGTTAGTTCAGGGCCATACATCCTAAAGGGCTGTGCATACTTCCCTCCCTCTACCTTCCATGATTCAAGCCAATCACCACGACAAAATCTCCTCTTCCTTGATCCCTGCAATGTGGCCATGCACTGCCTCCACCACGTGTACTAACTCACCAGGAATCATATCTTTTCCCCCCAATGACAGCACTGAAAAATGCAGTGCATTGCCGAAATAACCATAAGAAAGTGGTTCTTTCAACAGCCTCCTGAAGTCTATGCAGATTGAGATGGAGTGTGTATGGTCATATTTAGAGCCCTTTAAACGCACAACAGGTATCCAAAAGAGTGCAGCTAGAAGATCAAATGGGGTAGCGTCAGGGCACTTAACATGAATTTCTGATAGGCTTGTTTGATTACTGAATTAGAGAACTTAAAGGCGGTCGAGGCCATTTTCACCAAGGGAGCTTCCACAATAGACTTGGTTACATAGTGCTCAGCTGATTTACTATCAGTAACCGGAACCGCTCGGCCATGGAGTGCAGATGAGAAGACTGGTGGATGTACAATGGCTTGCTGACGGTGAGCCTCAGTCCAAGTCTTAAAGAGTAGGATTAAAGAGGTTAGGTCAGCATTCATGTGGGAGCAGTTTAATCCAATGGCTACACCCCCTCCTTCAAATTCACTGACCTGCAAAACCAGACAGAAAAAACGTTGGTGTCTTAACACTGCTATTAAAGTTGGCGGTTGATTTACCAACCTGAACCAATCAACAATTATTACAGAATTACTCGTTGCTTCTGGCAGGAGTTAACAAAGTAGTATTAAAATACTAAAATAGAATTATACAGATCTGAAAAAGTTGACAGAAAGTTTAGCTGATCTAGTACTCAAAAGCTATACTCTTCAAGAAAATTTGTTCAGAAAGTTTTAAACTTTAAATCAGTACCAATAATCAAGAAAAACCATTTAAACATCTTCCATGACAGAGACTTCCAAAACACTCCCAGACACTTTCTTTTTCCGATCAAATCCAACCAGTTCAGACATAAAAACAACTAAATTACATGTCTTTGATGTACAAATTCTATGTTTATCAAGGTTAAAGAGCAATGAACATGCATCCAATGTAAAAGAACTCTGGGTTTGGCACATGTTGAAGTTAAAAAGCACATGAAACACTACCTGAATACGAAAAGGTGACCATGTATTTGGATTTTCAGGCATGTCCTCCCAAGCAGCCAAATGTCTCTCCTCCATCCCATTACCATATCTCAACCATTCATCAATACCAACGCTCACTTTAGCCCTCAGAACTCTAACTCCAGCATCATTACACTTCACTTCCCAATTACCAGCCTCCCCTCGGGTCAACCGACCCGTAACAGGCGGGTACAACGAAAGGGTCTCAGAGAGTGACACCCTTATCGGATCCAAGTCAAATGATCTGAATGGATTTTTCTCATAGTAAAAGACCAGGTGCAAACTGTGCTGCCCCATGGCTTGGTCCAATGGAGTTAACAGGTGAGTCTTCCCTGGCTCCACTGGCTTGCTAGACACTGCCGTTAACTTGGAGTGCACGTTAACTCTGCTACCTTGCTCACTCATTCTCACAAAATCGAAAGAGAGAGAAATATGGGAGAGTTACAAGTTTCTAGAGGGAGACACTTGCAGCCAACAACAGTAACATAGGTAGACACCTGTTAACCTGATCCTGATAAGCCAGTTTTGTAGTTCTCGAGGAAGAGGAAGGCAGAGATTAAAGAGGGAAGCTGGGGGTTGGTTGAGCTTTGAGTTTTAAAATTAATGAAGATCGTTCATTCCTAGCTTGCAGGTATGGCACAATGAACACAGGACAGTGACAAATTATGCTGCACTGACACAAAGTTCATGGCAAGAGCTCAAGAACATGGAATTCAAAATATTATGGTTCAAGACATACATCAAGCCAAGCTAGAAAAAAATTTTCAAACATTAAAGATTTCAACTGCATTACCTATCTCCTCCACCCGAGCATTTAATTTAATAATTAATACATATATTTTTTAATCACGTGATTGAATTTTAATTTTTTATATATTTTTCAAAAAAAAAACTTAAAAAATATATTTTTTTAAAATAAAAATTATAACTCATAAGTCAGATTTTTATAATAGTACAAGAAAATATGGACTTACGCAAGGTGGGCCTCACAATTTTTAGTTGGCACACTAGAAAGAAAAAGAACATAGTCAAGTTTTAAATACAAGGACGGCATAATCACTTTAAAATAAAATACTTTATAAAAATAAAGACTTTTTTTTTAGAAAAAAAATTAACCAAGCTTGCCAGAATATTATGAATGGGTCAAGTAGATCTATGGACCAATCCAAAAATAAAATTAAAAACCCAAACCCAAAGTTGTTGCAAAAAATATATTCGTATGGGCTTATGCCTAACCATGGAATCTAAGTCATGGCCCGTACAGGGACAATAACAAATAAAGAAAGTATAATGATTAAAAAAGATTTTAAATTATTTAAAAAATTTTAAATAAATTTTTTTACTATATTCAATTAAATTTTTATATTTTTATTTTAAATCAAATAAATTATTATGACTAATACTTAATTAATTATTATTAATTAAAATATCATTGATCATTTTATATCTACATAACACTGATGCTGAAGGTGAAAAATAACAAATGATCATATTATTATGTTAAATTAATATGTTATATTATTATCAATTATAATATGTCAACATGTTATATCATCTTAATTATAATATATTAATACCATATTATATATAATGACAAGTGATGTTTTAATTAGATTAATTAATAATTATAAAAATTTATTTGATTTAAAATAAAAATACAAAGAATATTTTAACTCAAAAAAAATATAAGAACTTAATTGCATATACTGAAAAGATAAAAAATTTATTTTTTTTTTAAAAATAATTTAAAAACTTTTTTAGATATTATATAAAAAAGAAAATGTGAAAATTTCAAAAAATGACATTTTCTCTATAAAGTAAATTTAAAAATGATAATTTTTTTATTAAAAAAAAACACACTATCACATTAATAAAATATGTAAGTTTTTACAAAGATCTCTCTATTTGCATGATATAAGATTAAAGTGCCCAACATTTTTCTTGCTTAATTCGAGATCAACTTATCATCCAATTTGATAACTCTTTTGTCATCTCTCGTCACGAAATTTGATAATATTTTTATAACTATTAATTTGTTTATCTATATTTTATAGATACTTAACGTAAATCAAATTTAAATTAAATTTGATTTCGATATTATTTTATCATGGGATATTATTCTCTTCCAAAATACTAACCTAATATGATACGCAGCGTTGCACATAAGCTTTTTGGGATCTCCTTTTGAAACGCTTGACTTATATTGAAGAAAAGCACAAATGCCTTAACTTTTACGTAGGGGTGAAGTTGAAAACGTTTATGTTTATTAATAGTGAATTAGAAAAAATCGAAAAAAGAAATTAAAGTGAAAAGGAAAAATAATAATAATGGTGGCTCGCGAGTTCCTGGTTCGCCACGAGGACTCGACTTTCGCCGTCGATTACGACACCGACGACGGTTTCGAAGTCTCTCTTCTCTCTCTCAACCTGCAAAAGTTTTTCTTTATATTTTTGTTTTCCTTTCATTTCACTCGCTAGAACTTTCCTTTTTTGGAAATTTTCAGGTGTTTCAGTTTCAGCTCTTCTCTCTCACTTCAATCCCTCCCGATGAGCAAAAGGTCAAACAACTCTCTCTTTTGCTCACTTTCTAATGAAAGTTGTTTTTGATGATTGATTTTTGACGGTGCAGATCGTCGGGGAAGATGATGATCGAATCGTATCAGACAATTCTGATCTGGCCGCCGTTTCGGAGAAGATCCGATTGGTGTCGATCGCCTCGGAGAAGGAGAAGGAACCGGAGAAACAGGAAGAAACGACTAGTAGTGGTGGCGCCGGTGCCGGGAACTTCCATGCTGGAAGCTCCGTGATGTCCGATGAGGAATTGGCGCGAATGTTACAGGTTTTGCTTCTGGATATTGAATCAATCAAATGCATTGTTTCTCAACTATGAATTGTTTTAAAAATTTATAATTTTTCTGAATTTTTTTCTTGTTAATGTTAGGCAGAGGAAGAAGCGCTTTTGCTTCAACACTATGCAGCAGGTCAAAATAGCGGGCTATTTGAAGAGAAAATTCGGCCTTATATTAGCCAAGTTCTCATGGTACTTTCATTTATTTCTTTTTTCTATATATGTGAAAATTTGGATTATTAATATGGTTATTGGTTCATTTGGTTTTTGAGAACATGTAGGAAAAATCTAATTATTAGTGTATTACATTTTAATGCGCCACAGGCAGTTCATAGACTTTTGGGAAAAGAAAAAAGAAAGAAATTGTTAGGAAATGTAGGAAAATGTAATAGAATGATATTTTGATCATGGGCTTTTTTTTTTAACTTGTTAGACTACAATGGAAGTAAAAAGATTGAACTTCTTAATGTTAAACTTTCGCTGCAAGAATAAGAGGATAAATGACTTTACAGAATATTATGAGAATGGGTAGATGGGATATGTTTGCTATTTTCCTCTACTATTGATCAATTATAGATGGTTAGTACTTAGTAGCGCAACTTTGATATTTGGTCTATTGATGTAGTATGAGGATCCTGTACGCAAGGAAGCAGCTCGAAAGACAGTTCCTGTAGATAATCTTGAGGAGAAAGCATTGGTTTCTTTGGCCAAGGTGAGCGCTCTGAACTTATGGAATCTGGAAGAAACTATGCAATGTAGAAAATGTTAGGGAGTGCCTCTGCCCTAAAATTTATCCTGGTATCAACCAAATATCAAGGATCAATGATCCCATATCATTTCCCATTAGGACATATTTGAGGGCCCTTTAGTGTGTACAATCTTGCTGTCTGTCAGTGCTGGTATATTTCAAGCACTTGAAGAAAAGGATGCCTTTGATTGCGATTTATTTGAGATTGCTTTTACTTTTTTTTTCTTCGTGTCTTCTTTTTAGGGGAAACAAAATTTGATATGTGACTTTATCTTAATTAATGCTCAATGAGGGTGTTTCTTTTTAAATTGACATTGCATTTTGTTATGTATGAGATTAAGAATCATCATATCTCTAGATTTTATTTTGCAATGACATCATGCTAATTGATGATTTTGCTAAATATGCTTTAGGAGGGGAACCTTAAACCGTCAAAAATCGAACAAGATCATGCTTTCCTGCTCCAGCTGCTTTTCTGGTTCAAAAGATCCTTCAGGTTTTTCAGTTATTTTACTTTAAACAGTTCTGTACTTTCTCATAAACTCAACAGATCTAACATTTTACTTCTATAACTTTTGTGGTGTTCATTTCAGTAAGTTCTTGAGTCAGTTTCCATGGATGGAGCAAATAAGATTAGGGCTGACCTTTAGCTTTGCATTTTGCTTAGACTTTATATGGTGGATAATGTGTAATATATCCTATTATGAATAAAGCTTATAGGAAAGGTAGTTATTTGGTTGCCATGCAAAGAAGGCAGAATGATGCTTGTTATTCCAAATTGACAGAAATTGTGTTCTCTATTTTTATACATCGCTGATCCTTCAATTGATCTTGCAGTTGGGTTAATGCACCTCCTTGTGATGGTTGTGGCAATGAAACCACAGGTCAAGGAATGGGCAGCGCACTCGCTTCAGAAATTCAGTATGGAGCAAGTAGAGTTGAACTTTATCGGTCCGTGTATAAAGCAGCTTTGTTATAATTTTTTATCTTTTTTGATTCATAATGGTCAATTTGGAACCTCTTGTTTAGTTTAATCTATGTTTCCATTTAGTGCTTCCTTGAAGCCTGCTAGATAGATGGTCAAGGTCCTTCCATAATGCTCTGGCAACTGAAGTAATTTATACTTTCAAATATCATCTGAAAGATTTGAATTCAGCATCCTGTGTTACAGTTTGCTTGTAACACCTGCTTGCATGAGGGTTTGACATTATAGATAATGATATTTTTTTCTAACATTTTGCCAGCTTCAAGTCCTTTCTCTGCTTTATTCACTGAAGTCTTAGTTAAATGAGATCTTGAAACATCATATGAAAGGAATTAAGTAGGTTGATATGTATTGGTTGGCTCCTTATAGTCTCCTTTGTTGTATTCACAGTCATAACTTAGGTTTTTTTTTTATCTATATTTGGGGGAAGGGGGATTAGAACCCTACTCTTCTTGAGAGGGTGATTATGAGCCAACCAATGAGCCAAATGCTCGGGTGCTCAAGATCATAACTTGGTTTCTGATTATTGTTTGTTAAAAAGCGAAGTTTTTTTTTGGACAACTGCAGTTGCAATTCTTGTTCAAGAGTTACTCGGTTCCCACGCTACAATGATCCACTGAAAGTATGAACCCATACTAGTTTGATATGATATGATTTTTTTATGGGCTGAGAAGTCTTTGTTTCACAAATCTTTCTCCTTTTTACATTTGCAGCTTGTAGAAACAAGGAAGGGGCGTTGTGGAGAGTGGGCCAATTGCTTTACATTGTATTGTCGTGCTTTTGGCTATGAATCTCGTCTGGTTAGTCATTGATGGATGCAATTCAGTCTCCAATCCAATTTTCTAACACACAATTCTTTCTTTTGCTGAAAAGAGTGGTTAAATTAATATAAGATAACAATGAAAAACAGTGTCACCTAGTCTACCGATGATGCATTTTGATGTATCTTCGGCATATACATAGCTGGAATTGTTTTGATCTGAAGCTCTGGATGACAGGATAATTGTAATATCTACTAAATAAAAGGGAAAAAAATTCAGTGAGAGAGGAATAAAAAGATTTAGAAACTCAGGGAAGTTAAAACTTTAATTTTGTTTTTAATAGGTGGGGAGGGGGGATTTGAACTCTGTTCTTTTGGCAAGGGAATCATGCACCAACTAATGAGTCAAATGCTTGGGTGCAAGTTAAAACTTTAATTTGAAATGATGAGAATGTTTTAGCTGGATGATCTAGATTCTATTTGTACTTGAAGAAATAGGTCAAACAAAGAACATGTTCAAGATACCTTTAAAGAATTTGGAAATGTCATATATGTTTTAATATAATATTTGGATGCCTTTGTTGTTGTAAATGGAATCCATCTTTAGCTTTTTAAGTTATGAATGGCTCCTTTGCTTATAATTGTGATCATTGAAGCTATTGGTTCTGCAATACATGGACTATGGAATCAATATTTCTGGTTGCATGGCATGAAACTGGATTGTATACTTCAGCTATGTCTTTCCACCAGATAACATTAGAACAAATGCGTTTGCAGATGTTACACAAAAAACATGCAGATTAAGTTAAGGGCTGGCAACTTTGTGAGCAGCAGCACATTCATTCATAGTTGTATGCATGTGATTAGCTCTAACTGGTTAATGATTAGATTCCTTGGGATTTTTGATAATTTGCTTTGTGGAGATCTGGTTGCTTGAGATGATGATCTTTCTGTATACCAATTGTTTATTTCCAGGTCCTGGATTTTACAGACCATGTTTGGACAGAGTGTTATTCAGAAGTTCTGGGAAGGTAAAAAGAACTCAAAATTTGTGCTTTTAATCATCTCTTGGAAGGTATGCCAACACTCTAATGAACAGGCTAAACTATATATGGTTATGTCACCAACCAGTTCTGCATTTTTTGCACAGATGGATGCATCTTGATCCTTGTGAAGCAATATATGACCAGCCACTATTATATGAAAAAGGGTATCTCTGAGTTGAATATTATCCATTTTTCAGAACAATTTCTTTTATTTTGGTTTTTGATACTAGACATTGTTTATTTGTTAAATGCTTCCTTTATTACAGGTGGGATAAGAAATTAAATTATGTAATTGCTATTGCAAAAGATGGAGTTCATGATGTCACTAAACGTTACACAAGGAAGTGGCATGAGGTAATTTTAAAATTGTAACTGTGATCATGAGAGCTTTTATTCCCTTCAATCCTTTTTTCTTTCTCATGCTTAGAATGATAATTTTTACCTTATTATGAAGAACCATTCTTCATCTTTTTCATCCTCACCATTGTTTTTCCAGGTTTTGTCTCGACGAACCATTATCACAGAGTCCTCTCTGGTATCTGTTCTCACTTCAATGACTAGAGAATGCCGAAGAAACTATACATCTGAAATTCTTTCTGTGCTTGAAGAACGTGACAAGATTGAAAGGGAAACAATTGAGAGAGATTTACATTCTACTGATGATGCTTCAATCTTGTTACCTGGGAGGCAAAGTGGGGATAACCAATGGCGCATTGCAAGATCAGAATATGGGACTGATTCTCTCAGTTTGTCTTCTTGTCCAGTTCGTATATGCAGAGATGAGCATGTAACAAGAATCTATAATGCATTTGGTGCTATCCTTCGTAAGTTTGTTGAGGATTCTTTAATTGTATCCAAAGGTGTTGAAGTTCTCAAGATTTTAAGAACAACTATTGTAGATCTCAAGAAATTACCTTATAAAAAAAGGAGAGCTTCTTTAAAGTCAAACTCAATTGTTGGAACGTCTTTGGTGCATCATTTGCTGCCCTCTTTTAGTGAATTGCTCAATGCTCTTTCCCTAAAGAGTGAACTGGATACTAATGGCAGTGTCAGTGTATGCTTAGCTGGTGACCCTGTTCAAACTGCTTTAGCATTGCCTGTTGCTTTGCATGCTTTGGATGAATTGATCAGTGATCTTAGCAAATGTGACAACTTTAGTAAAGATTCTCTATCCTTTCCTCTTCTGAGATTGAACAGAATATGTTCTGGAGCAGTCCATGCAAGTGGTGAGGAGCTTCCTTTTGGGATCGTAAGTACTAACAGCCTCATTTTTTATATCTAACACTGGAGTATGAAGTGTCTGTATGTGGTATAGAAAATATCTTTAAATTTCTACCCTTGAAAAATTTCAGGCCACAGCAGCATTTGATGGAACTCGCATGTCTAAATGGGAGGAACCTAATGGCGCTAGAGGTATTATGAACAAAGAGAATACTTGCTTTTGTCTGCTTATTACTCAATCATATCAAACCCTGATGGAAGAAAATATACTGTGAGATTATTTTTTTTTTGACTTGAGGTTTGAATACTTAATGTACAAGCCTTCTTCATTCCTTCTGCCCTCCTAAGTAGAAGACTTGGTTCTGCATGATGTTGAATTGGGAAATGTATTGACATTTACTGGATAGTTTAATCTGTTACTGCAGCTGATATGTTTTTATTTAAAAACCAACTATCTCTCTTACTATCAAATGTCATCTTGTAGGTTCTTGGATCATGTACAAATTATCAGCCAACATGCAGGAACTTGTTGCATATGAGTTAATGTCAGCCAATGATGCTCCAGAAAGAGATCCAATGGATTGGTATGATTTGCTTTTATGTCTGTAAGCGTGACCTTTGATGCTATATAAGATAGAACTTAGATGGTGTTTTCTATCTGCTCATAATCTGAACGATGGTTTTTACCATTTTAATGGTCAATTGGAGTTAATAGTCTACCAGGGGGAAAACATATTTATGCATTAATCTCACTTAGCATTCAAATTTTTTATCTTTACAGGGTAGTGGAGGGAAGTAATGACAGAGGATCTAGCTGGCGAGTTTTGGATAAACAAACTTCTCAGGTGTTCAATAAACGTTTTCAACGCAAAACATATAAGATACGACCAACAGGATTCTCATCAAATGTTTTCAGGTGAACTATGTTTGTTCATAGTTTGTTTCCGATGCAATTTAAGTTCACCCATCTTGAAACCTTTGTTTACTGATATCATGGATGACAGATTTCGATTTTTGGCGGTAAGAGGCATTCAATCAACCTCTCGGCTGCAAGTAGGTAGCATTGACCTCTATGCTAGGGAAAGTTAATGTTCTGAAAACTTCTGAAGGTTATCATTGCAAGTGAAAATATTTGTTTTAGCGTATATTCATGGCTTCCCTATCTCCTCCAACCAGAAATCGCTTGGTGAAGAATATTTGTTGTTGTGCTGATAAATATTTGATGATTCAAATACTGTGTACTATAATTTTGTCAATGTCGATGTTGCCATAAATAACTGCTAGATCAAAGGAAAACCCACATGAAATAAGCTTATCTTTTATCTATCAATGTCACTATCTACTAGTCTTTGCAAAGCCAGCTAGAGGATGCCTTTGCGTGTTTCAATACTGAATTTCTTCTTCCTTTTCTTATCAAAGACCAGAGGAACAAAGATTAGAAAGAAAACTGCCTGGTCTATCACCAGTCAAAGGAATTCTAATCCATCACAGCCTGATCTATGTCCCAACATGTACAATTCCAAAAGATCCTTATGTAAACAAACAATCTGATGCACTTGGAAAAGCTGAAATAACAATTGGATGTAACATCTGATGATGCAGTTGCAAAAATTGAACATTTTTTTCACAAGTCAGGTAAAACAGAATCCTCTATTTTTGGTCATCAAAGCATTTAAGATGGTAAAGTTTATCAAAATTTGAAAAAAAAAAAGGAAGAAAAACCAAATGAGAAGATAAAACAATGTTATAGTGACCCGAGGCTTATGGTTCATCCATCTTTCTTGTTTTTCCTTCGACTCCCTATCAGGGTCAATGCTCCTCAATCTTCTTCAAACCCTTCATGTCTGTTGTTTCCACCCTGCATTACAAACAGATATCACAGTGAATATATACAATGTAACCCCGGATTGTCTGGTTACTGCAATAATGAGAGGAAATGTAAAGGCCATATGCATCTAGTATGGCAGTTTTACTATTCCCTAAGATATTTTATTGCTGGTTAACGGTAGTTTATCTTCAATGGACAACATATTGTACTGGGGGAGGTAGAAAATTATACTCCTTTTAGGACTACAAGTTGCCATGATGAGATGAAAAGTGGTAAATATAAATTATTGTTTCTTTGCGCAGGAAATGCATAGAAATCTGTAATAGAAGTAAACAAATAACCTTTGACACGGCATCCACTAATGACAAACTTATTTCCATAGGGTAATTCAACATTTATGTAAAGCCTTCTCTCCGGCCACAAATTACTCGTGTAATGCTGAAGGTAAACATATGTCACTCATGCAATAGAACTAGATGACAACAATATGAAGGTCTGTGAAGATTAGAACCCAACACCGAACTTATTGGAAACCCAAAAAACAGAACACCCAACATCAGAACAATGAAGCAAACAAATTCTAAAGAAGGTAGATGTCCTTTGCTCTAGAGTAATCTACAAATCATAGTTAACATATGGACAAACAAATAATAATGATAATAACAGAAGCTAGTCGCTAATAAGCCAAAGGGACAGGACAAACTGTAACAAATTATACTCACCCTATGCTCTGCTTTGCTAGATCAATTGTTTTACGTAACATGAACAAGCTCTTGGTTCAAGTAGTTTAGTATTTTGGAATTTGATACACTCTTTTTCCTTACTAATAAGCATCATAGTACTTTAAAAATCAGTTCACAAGTAACCAAAGCATAAGATCATTACTTGAACAATAATGTATAAATGATAATCATAGCTGTGGTATATAAAAATGATGGAACTAGAATATTCAGGTTTTTAGGTACAGGGACACATCAGGCTGTATTGAAATTGTAGCAAATGACATATCATAATGTAGAGAACTAGGAACAAGAATTACTAAAAACTTACGTTGATCCATATAAGGCAATCTTCTGAACTTTTGTGATTTCAGAACCGGACTGATTGTCTTCAATAAATATTGTCAAGCTGGTAAACATAATAAAGCAAAATTAACACTAATTTACTCAATGTTATGATAAAGACTAATAGTAGCACATAAGGCATTAATTATAAACATACCTACGGACATTCTGAAACTTGACATACTTCAAGACTACTGGTTTTCCCTGCAAAAATAGTGAATGTTATAAGATTTATCAGTTCACAATGATTTCTTAAAATACCTTATTACAGTTTCCCAACAATGGGAAGACAGCTAAAGAAGAGCTACCTTTAGATTATCTGGGGATAAGACAGCAGTGTCACTTGGAGGGAAGTCATTGACATTACTGCAATAAGCACAATGAAATGCCAACAGTGAACTAACGAGTGCTTAAAATCAATAAACCAATTGAGAGAATGTAATAATTCCTTTATTATTACCTGAATCCCATGTGTTCCTTGTTTGAAAAAAGCTTCACTGTCTTTGGACCTGAAAAGACAAAATCAACAACCTCAAAGGTGATTCTAGTAGGGCACAATTTGAAACAGGCATTCATCAACAGGATGAATCAATAGGACTTAGCTTCAATGTGATTGAATTCCAGCTGAGATGCATAATTATACACATTATGACAGATACATATAGGCAGTATTAATAAAAATTGTAAACATATACAAAAATTTACCTTCCTCTTCAGACCCCCTGATGACAATGGAATGTAGTTTAATGACTTGAGTGAAGGGGATATAAATCAGAAGTTGTTCATCTGCATCACTCTCTAGATTCAAGCCTTCATCTTCTCTATAACCCTAGTTCATGAGCATAGGATTAACTATTTCACAACTATACAATTCCCAGACGTCCACAAAAGCAACTTAAGTTTGGCAGGATAAATTATAAAAGCATAACCTTGACATTGGTCAATGAAGTAACCCCTAAAAACCCAATGTTTGAAAAGAATAACTTCCATTACAACATTGATTTTTCCACACATGAAAGTAAGCTTGTCACCATAAATTATTCAATAACAAATGACAATCAGCTATGATTAGTGGAAAAAAGAAGGCAGAGAAACACGAATAGAGAATAGCTTGAAGAGAGTTACCTGCTTAAGAGCATTGGCCAGAGAGTGATTGGAGTTTTGATTAAGGCATTCAACTCCAGACCAATCAATAAAGTCCAAGAGATCAACCTAATCATCAAAAAAAATTCCCAATCAAGTTAACAAATTTTAAAGAACCCTCCTTTCAATTACCCTCAAAAAGCTGTGTTGATTTTTTTTTTAAAAAAATAGAGCGAATCTTTCCAATTGCCCAAAAAAATAATAATAGGAAAATAACAAAAACGCATCTTTTCAAGTAAAAAAAAATCCAAAAGATACCCAGTTGCCAGATTCCTTGTTTTCCCACCAAGTTTCTCTAGTTTTCTGAGAAACCAAACAAAAGGGTATCCAGAAAGGAAGAAACTTTGAAGTTTGGAAGACTCACTTGGTTTCTTTGAATCGCAGTGGCTGATTCGGTAGCAGACATGGTTTAAATCGCTAATGAGATTGCTGAGATAAAATTTTGTTCTGAGAAGGAAAAAGAAGGTTCAGAAAGAGAATAATTGGGGAAAAAGAGACCAAAGAATAAAAGAACGACGGAAATATTAAGACGTGGGACAAAAGAATTTTACACTGCCGCTGGTATGGTGAATCCTGGGAAAAGACGAAACTAGAACTCGAGAAGGATCTCAAACGTTGCCGTTTAAGTACAAAGACATGTTTTTGGTCGGATTACAGAAGTACACAAGGCTTAAACCAAGTTGGGTCATGATTTCAGATATCAATTAGTAGAAAAATATTCAAGAGAGTGTTTTTTGAGAGAGGAAAAAGAAAGCAAAAGAAGAAAGAAGCCTCCTTTTTTAGATTTATTTGCAATTGAAGAGATCCAATCCAAATTCCCAAACCCCAGTGGCCCAAAACCTCCATTAAACAAACAAAACATATTTTACCGAAAAAGAAAGAGAATCCACCAACCAATAATATCATCTAACCAAGGGACCAACCAAACCTCAGAAGTCCCTTTTCCTGTCCTTGCATCTTGAACCCAGAGTTCACCTAACACAAATAGAACAAACACAGATCAAACCAAAGCAAAAACCACCCACGAGCCACAGCCCTCCATCAAATCCAAACCCCACAAAAGCTAGATAGGGGAGGAAAAAGATTAAAGCATCCGAAAACACTCCAAACTCCAAAAGCCCCATTTTGCTCTTCTCCTCCCGTTCACCAGAAACCAATGGCCTCCTTATCCCTCCAACTCTCCTCCCTGCACCACACCTCTACCAACCCTCTTATCCTACGCAGCACCCCTCTCAACCTACGCGCCCCAACCCAGAAACCATTCTCCATCAGGGCCCAATCCGCCCCAGTCCTTTCCCAAGATGATCTCAAAAAACTAGCAGCGGACAAAGCAGTGGAGTCAGTCAAGTCGGGCATGATCCTAGGCCTAGGAACAGGCTCAACAGCTGCTTTTGTAGTTGACAAACTAGGCCAACTTCTCTCAACAGGTGAACTTTCTGACATCATAGGAATCCCAACCTCGAAAAGAACACAAGAACAAGCTGCATCACTTAACATCCCTTTAACTACCCTGGACAAGCATCCCCACATTGACCTTGCTATTGATGGTGCTGATGAAGTCGATCCTAACCTTGACTTAGTTAAAGGCCGAGGAGGTGCACTTCTACGTGAAAAAATGGTTGAGGCAGCGTCATCTTCTTTCATTGTAGTAGCTGATGATAGTAAGCTTGTCTCAGGGCTTGGAGGGAGTGGCTTAGCTATGCCTGTTGAAGTGGTGCAGTTTTGTTGGAAATATAATTTAGTTAGGCTTGAAGGGTTGTTTAAAGATTTGGGTTGTGAAGCAAAGTTGAGGTTAGTAGGGGATGGTAGTGAAAAGCCTTATGTAACTGATAATGGGAATTATATTGTGGATTTGTATTTTAAGAATCCAATCAAAGATGGATTTGGAGCTGGGAAAGAGATTTCTTCCTTGGAAGGTGTAGTGGAACATGGGTTGTTTTTAGGGATGGCTACTTCTGTTATTATTGCTGGGAAGACCGGCGTGGAGATTATGACTAAGTGATAAGAAAGGTGTGAGAGACAGAGGTGAGGTGGAATTTTTATTTTTGTCGCTTATTGTTCCATGTTTGAGGGGTTTTCAATTTGTGTGGGGGGGTAATTTGTTGCAAGATTTTTGGATTTTGATGTTGTGTAGAGTAATTGTAGAATGTGGAATAATTGCGGATTTTGGAAATGAAATTGAAGATCCTTGCAATGGTTTATTTTAGTTTCCATGTTAGCTTGTGGTTGTTTCTCAATTTCCTGTTTTTATTATGGTTTTTTTTTTGTTTGATTTTTGAGGGAATTTGTAGGGTAATTTGTTGCCGAAGTTTGGATTTTGATAATGTACAGCCTAACGGTAGAATGTGGAAAATTGGCATTTGGTAATGACCTGAATTGCTTGATTCTTGTATAGTTATACAGATTTTGGAATGGCCGACTTATTTCATATCAAATTTGGTTTTTTGTTTCTGAACTTCTTATGAATTAAAGTGATGAAACATTTAACTTCTAAGCAGCCATAGGAATCCAAGAGCATATAACAGGACATCTTCAGAGAGAATCTGTTACCATTGTGCTTTAGATTTGTTGGTAGTGTCTGCCTTTGCATTAATCATCTAAATAAAGATTAGTAGAATTGAAGACACGGTGAATCCTAAAATTAAGAAGCCTGACTTGGTAGTCCTAAATATTGTTTGAATGGTTTTGAGGCTGTAATAGGTTCTTTGGTATCTGCTGTTGTGTGGCAACTGTGGCCACCATCTCATCTTTTTTGACTTTTGGTTAACTCTGTTTTCGATAAATCTTACTTTAGTTAGTTCGCTGAGGACAGTGAACGACCAAGGTAAAGGCATTTTGATAAGGCTGAATTCCCTAAGAGTGGCCTTAGTAGCCATGCGGTACTATAAACTCAAGATACCATATGTCTTAGAACAGTGAAAGATAAGGGGTGCATCAGATAAGCAACTGGTGCCGGTCCTATGAGAGTAAGGATAGTTGGTTATTATTGATGAAATATGGAGCTAACAGAAATGGGGTACTTGAAAGGGAAAGGTGGAATGTTTTGCTAGACAAACACCTACATCCTTGTATATCTTATATGTCATTTTTCATCTCTTTTCTTTATCAAGAAATGTTGGAAGATGGATGAATAGAGATAGAAGAATACACCAGGCTCAAACAAAGACACCAAGACCGCCTATATATTTATAAGTTGAGTGTCTCCTTCAAACAGTAAAATGTAAATTACTCTTTCATATGGCTTGTCCCAACTGGATTCTAGAGTATTCATGGTGGTACATTAACTGAACCACTTTACTTAAAAGATGCAGGGTTTTTATGCACTTTTATACAGCTAGATGATCTGTTCATCCTTGTGAGCATCTTGTATTAATGTCCCGGTGAGTTGAGTGTAGTCTGAACTCAGAATAAGTTGAAAGATGTGAACTACGATGTTTCAGAAAGACCTTTTACGATGCTTCAAAGTTTAAATAACTATTGTTGTCATCCCTTAAGTTGAAGCTTCCTCTTGGTTTGACTGGAAAACTTCAGGAGTATTGATATTTGTTTCATGTTCATTGTCAATAAATGTCAGGTGAAATTTGATGTGCAATCTAGCATCTAATCAAACTTCTCTGAGAACTGGGGATATTAGAATAAGAGCTACAACCTTGATTAACTTTCTGTATATTTGTCGACAATGCTTTTCAAAAAAACATATAATTTGTCCAAGATGCTTACTAACTGGCTAGAATTGATAAGTTTTTATTTTTATGCCTACAACCACTTTAGTTAAGGTGTTGACATATAGTTTATTGACTTATGAATGCAAGGATTTGGTTTTCAAAGATGGCTGTGGAATAAAAGAATATATCAGTATCTAATGGAATGAGACAATTTGAAATTTAGATGGCAATGGAATTTAGTTTCCCCTTCTCCAGTTACCGGGGTATAGTTTAGTTTAAAGTTAAGATTACTCAACAGGGATCACATTATATAAGTATGTAGCGGGTCTTTTCTGTTTCTTCCCTCCTCTAACGCCTCCCCCTACTCCCAACACCATCCCCCACCATCCCCAACCACCCTGCCGCTCCTCTCTCTCTTTTATCTCTCCCCCTTTCTTTTGGCAAGGGCGAGGCAACTTTCTCACTATCACACCATTTTCTTTTGAATGGACATCTATTAATGTTGATTATTAGTCATTTATGAGAACCCAGCTCATGTCAGTTTGTTAGCTCAGCAAATTTGCATCATAAATTTTAATCATGGTGCAGCCTTAGCTTATGCTTTTGTTGTTCTTAGCTTGAATTCCAATAGAGAAATAAGAATGATAACAAAAAGAGAAAGGGTTGGGACTAGGGATGGGGCGGCCAGGACAGGTTTTGATTAGGGACAGAACAATTTGGTGCATAAGACAAAAAAGTTTTATGACAAATAACCAAACAAAAGGGGTATATTATATACTAAAAAATAACGATTATAGAGTTCTCTACACAACAATCATCCCTCACAATGCCGTACTTCTGTTTTCAACTTATTTATACAGACTGAAAACAGCATATAAGAATAAGACAGAATAATAATCAAATCAACAATGCATCAAATATCTAAGTATAATGGACTCTCGTATGATAACACTAAATGCTGGTGAGCTGAGGGTCTGATTTATTTTCACATATCCTACTTCCAAAGAACCATAGCCATGGACATCATCAAAACAGCCACCCAGTGAAGCTTCCCTGGCAGGAATGTGTAAGCTGAAAAACAAGATACAGAGCAAGAAGGATCAGAGTTTGAAATAGAACCGATGTCATTCATTTGTTTTTAGTCAAAATTGCTATATGAATGAGAAGCTTTAAGTCAATTTTGTACAATTGTTAGGCATTTACAACACAAGTAGTCTTTAGTAGAAAAAAGCAGCTAAAGTTTGAAACGGTTAAGAGGTTGAAAACAGATCCTGGATTTGACTTATTTTGTCAAGCAATGGTTTGCAGTACACGAAATCAGAAATCTTCATTCACCAGGCTAAATTTTTGTTTGGTTTTTCGAGTAATCAAGGGATGGAGGCGGAAAACTATGTTGTTAATATCAAATTTTCTTAACTTTTTCGATATATTTGAAAGGTCGTGCCCTGAATGAAAGAGTCAGTGTAACATAAGTTAACCAATAAGGGTGTGTGTGCCTTGATCCTTAATAAGAGAGTTTGCAGTCAATTCACCTTTTCCACCATCTGGTGTTGATGTTTGATCTGCAACTGTAATCCCAAGGCGGGAGCAATCGGATCCAAGTGTACCTTTGAAACCCAAAAACCATGAGTTTAATCAGTTTCTATAAATTTTTTGCTCTTGAACTTTTATAATGTTTCACCAAAGATTTGATGTTTGAGTTCTTACATTGACTGTAGCAGGGGAAGTATGTTTTGTTGAGAAGATTGAAGTAGCCAGGTCTGCATTCACATACGTGCTTGTATGTTGCTGTTTTGTTGCATGTGCCTTCTCCACAGTAAGTCCAGTAGCAAGCTATTAAATTAACCAAAAATAACAAAGATCAGAGAACTGGTAGTAAGAAGCTGAAAACTATGGCAGATTTGAGTAAATGATAGTCGAGAGGCTGTCAAGCTGATTACGATCAAAGAAAGATGAATTGTGAGGAACTTCTTTCTCAGGTACTGGAGGAGGAGCTGGCTGGCAGGAGTAATCAAGAGTGCCTGCAGGTATCAGAAGCTTGCTTAATTAGTGATCACTTTCTAAATTGAATCTGCAATGGCTAGAAGAAACAGATGAAGAGGAAAATCTTACAGTTTGGAATCACGCATGGTAGAAACCTAACATCATCACTGTCGTTGTTGTCTCTAGTTCTCTTCCAACCAGCATCACACTCACATATGTAGTTCAAAGGGTAGCTTATGTCTGCTTTGCATGTTCCTTTTCCACACTCAACTTCTTCACACACCCTATCTGTTTTTCGACAAACCAAATTATACCAATTAGTATATCAGATGCTATACTTTTCATTGAAAACTTCATTTCCATCTATACAAGATTGACAAGGAGAGGAGATGGGGATGTACCATAGAAAGGAGCCAGGGCAGGCGATAAGTCACTATCTCCTTTAGCAGCTATAGGAAACAAAACCAGAAGCAAAGCTGCAAAAGCAAAAATTTTGTAGGATGCCATTTTCTGCAAGGAGAGAAAGGCAGATCGTACTTCCAACAGGAGAAAGTGAAGCTAGTGTCTTGTTAAAGGGATACTTATATAAGTTAAAAAAGATTGAAAATTTCTTTGCTACCAAACATATATTGAAAAAAAATAAAATAAGAAAGACTTCAAATTGTGACATTATTAAAGAATTCTTCATATGGTAAAATCAAAGGAACTATTATTTTTACTTAGTAGAAGCTTCTGCAGCCTTGAAGATCAATTCAATATGCTTAAAACACTACCCATTTTCTTCTGTTTGAATATTGATTATATTCTTTTAATAAATGTTAGTTTTGAATAGGTCTTTCCATTCAATCTTATTGGGTTTTTTTACTTATAAATAATATGTGTGATACCATGATGTATATGATCAAGTCATATGCAGGCCCTATTATATCTTTGTACTGTTGCTTTTGTTAGTTTCTTCAAGGTAATTTCCCCTTGAATTAGCATGTCATTTTACACATGTATTTTGGCATAGCTTATACTTGATGGAGGGGATTGCTGTGCATCCAAATGTCAACAGAGATTGCGGTCTCGGTTGGCATTTACAGAATACAAGTTAGAAGCATCCAACCCTCTCAACTTCACAATCAACATGAAGTCCTCTCCCCCTGTCTCTGTCTCCGTCCCTCCTCCTTACAAGAAAAAGTTTAAAGAGAGTCTGGATATGCCAAGAAAAAGTTTAACAACATGAAAGACAAAGAATGGTTCATGGTTTGTTCTTCAATTCTGTGAGGATGAAACACAGATAGGTTACTGATATTAGTCATTAGCCAGCATGTCTCCATCTTCTTTTTCCCTTTCTTTGTCTGGGGTCATATGATTCTGATCATCAAAATGTTATTCATCTGAATTTACAGAAAGGGACAGAGCCTGAGTAAGTTTCCAGGTTGCCACCATCCAGAAACTCAAGACTCTAACGCAAACAATTTTTTCAAAGCTGAAGTTCCAGAAGTGCTCCTTCTGCCTAATCCTCTTAAGCTTAGAAAGTCAAAATTTCATCACTGGTGGGCCTTAAACTTAAATATAACAACAATAATCACAAGACAAGTGTGACAATTAGAATAAGAAAATGTCAAGGGTCGGTTTTGGAGATGATGCTTAAGTTTGCTTGTCATGCCACGTTTACAAGTTATATTTCATTTCATAAGCATGAGAAATGGCAAATGAATATCTTTGTTCTTTCATCAACAAAGCTTAAATAACAAGCCCTTTCCTCCATTCCATGCACTCCAACCATTTAATTAGCTTTCTTTTACCCTTTCTATTTCTTTCTTAAAAAGATTAGGTGAAGACTTATGATTTCAAGCCAAGAGTTTAGAGTTTATTTTATATTTTTTGGGTACATAGTCAAAAACTTAAAAGAGTATAATATACAGCCTGAAACGTATACAGCTTTGCTAGCTTTGGATTTGAACATTTTTTAATTTATTCTATTGATTTGGAAGAGTTAAAATTTGGGTTGAATTAAGATTGTCAAATTTTTCTTTGCAATGTGTTTTTCTTGTATATACAACTTGAAGTCAGGGTATGCCACCACATTACAAGTTAATTTTCTTGTAAGTTATGTAATTGCAAAGAAGAGGTCAGGGAAAAACTATATATATAAATATTATATTAGGGGAGAAAACAACATTCAATTCAAAGTCAAAACAATTAGTATAAATTAGAAAAATCCCAAGAAGGGTATGGTGTTGTACTTGTTCCTGGTGAGAGGCTTGGCCTTTTCCAACTCCAATAGCTTAATGCTTTCATACTGAGAGAACCAATCAAGGTGTTACCAAGGTCCTTTGAAGTAATGATATAATGCAGAAACAAAAAAATAAAGGGTGTAGTATTAGTCTAGAATCTTTCGATGGTAACGGGAATTAATAGATATTTGAATAGATATATTTTGAAATGAAATAGAGTAGTTATTAGATGAAAATAAAATAAAATAATTATTAGGTAGTTTGATTCATGAAATGGAATAAGATAAAGAATTGTTATTATAATTTATTTTAATATTTGATTAATAAAAATAATTTTAAAATAATCAATAATAAAATGATAAAATTATTTTTTATTATAATAGAATTTATTTTTATCAAAACCAAAAATACCCTTTATTATAATTTAATAAAATTTATGTAAAGGACAAAATTACTCATTACTATAATTTAATAATATTTTTATTTTTTAATCTTTTAATTTCTATTTTTATTAAAATTTTAAAACATTAATAATTTAATAATTTATTATTAAATCATTAATATAATTTTTATTTATTCTCTATTTGTAGTTTTTATTTTTAATCTTTTAGTTTCTATTTTCATTAAAAATTTAAATATTAATAATTTATTATTAAATTATTAATATAAAATTTATTTTAATTTCTTTCTATTTTTTCTTTTTTTTTTCTCATTTTCTTCTTTTCTTTGCTTTTTCTCGTGCTCGTCGCTAGCCATCGGAGGCAAAATCAGTGACTTTAGAGCGGCCAATGCCAGATCGGCACTCCAACATCGTCGTGGTTTCTTCGATGGCCCATGATGGAGACCTAGGTAATGACACTGATAGAGGACAATTGTGGCTGTGGAGGAGAACAGCTTCAAGCTTGCTTAGAAAGGGAAAGGGTGAAAGGTAGACCTAGACGAAACAGTAGAAAAAGGAACATGATGAAAAAAACATTTTATAGGATTAAGGTTGTAATTATTTTTAATAAATAGAGATATTTTTATTTAAAAAAATTTTAGATTACAGTAAAGTTTTTATAAATTAATATTTAATAAATAAATAATTTTAATTAAATAATATTTTTTACTGATCTCGACTTAAGATTGACATAATAAATTAATAATTCATTAAATTTATAAGGTAATGCATTTTAAAAAAATATAAAAATTTTATTTAGTATATAAATTAATAAATTTTTTGTACATTAAAATATATATACATAACTCAATTAGGAGGTATTTATAATATTATTTGTTTCCTTTTAAAATTAATGTCTCCTTAAATTCTATCTCTAACTTTTTTTAATGTATTAAGAAGCTCTATTCTCATATTTTAAGAGAAAATTATGTAATGTGATCTGCACGAGATTGGTTTCAATACAAAATTATCATCTTCAATTTTATCTCTTTTGTCATTTCTCACGACGTTATTAATAATTTATTCATCTCAAATAATAATAATTCGTAATTTAATAATTAAGTAATATTCATATAATCATTATACACAATACATGTTTTAAATTCAATATTTAAAAAATAAAGAACATCATGAAATATTAATTTTTTATAAATTAAAATATTAATTAATAAATTATTAATTTATCGATTAAATAATATTTTAATTAATAAATAAATTTTCTCAATCTAAAAATATTAATTTAGAGAAGTTTTATTATATTCCATTAGCCATGGAAAGGACTAATAACAAGAGAAGTGGGAATGACTAAGCTTGTTTATTGGGATTATGCAAGAATAAGGTAACATATAGTTAGTTCTACATTAATAGTTTGTTGTTTTACAAAAACCAACATTGAGAAATATAACGGAAAACTAATCATTAAACAAACATCTTCTGAGTTTGAAAGTGATGCATTAGATATTTTTTGACTTTTTTTGATATCATACTCAATCAAATTTATTTTATTAAAATCTGAAATATAACATGAACGATTTTATTATTAATAATTATTTATGAAAAAATTAAATCATTTTTTATTTTAATTTTTTATGTACACTTAATGTCTTCGGATATCAATAAATTAATAAGAAAATCATTATCGTGACACAATAACACTTTTTTCAAATAATATATTCATTGATAATATAATACAAAAGATACTAATACCCTAATGCTACAAAATATGTTCTACAAACCTTATTTTTTTTTCAGCTAGTTTGAAACCTATTTGTAATCATTTTTTTATTTAAAATCATTGTAAAAGATTTTATTACTATTTTTTTGTTTAATGGCTTTATAAATGCTAATGCTTTTGATATACTTTTTTTCAATTTGTACTGATTTTGATTCGTTAATTGATTTATATATTTTTAAAAAAAACGTAATTGAAAAACTCTAATTCAAAACAATGATTTGAAATCATAAAAAATAAAAAAATATAAATAGTTAAATTAAAATGAAAACACTCATTGATTAGAGTATAATCCTTATCCAAAGAGTAAAATTCCAACGCCTTTTTATAAAGAAAAAAATAATATGAAGACAAAAAAATCTCATTAAAAAATGAAATTAACTTTAAATTCAAATCTAATTATAAAAAAAAATGAAAATGACCTATTAGAAAATGAAATTAACTTTAAATTGAACACTAATTATAAAAAAAAAAAATTGAAGATGATCCATTAGAAAATGAAATTTACGTTAAATTCAACCCTAATTATAAAATAAAAATGTGAAGGTGATTGACATCCTAGACTTCGTTAATCCTAGATTCATATCAGCTAATAAATCTGAAGGAAAGAAGAAGTTGATCAAATTGAGAACATGGATATCTTTCAAAAAAAAATTGAGAACATGGAAAAGGCAAAAGCAATCCCACAAACAACATGGTAGAAGAATTTGATCAATGTACAACCACGATTTGTTGAAGGCTGAATGGTAACATAGGGACCTGTTTTTGCCTTTTCCATGTTCTCAATTCTTCTCTTCCTTCAGCTGTTGGTATTAACTAAGTATTCTGCTTCATCTCTTTGGCTTTGCCCCACAGTACCACATAAAATCCACACACACTCAGTGCTCCTCCTAGGATGCTTCCTAAGTGTAGCTTTTCATCCAATATCAGAGTTTCTAGGATGGCAACAAATACAAGCCCCTAAGGATTGAAAATAGGTGCATATAGGGGAAGAGACCATCATGGTAGAGCCTATGATTCCCTCAAAAGCGCTTAGTTTCCATTGACTCCAATTTCCTTCTGTACAAAACCCCTTTGTAAAATGTGTAGAACATTGCTCCCGCGCCTATTCCTATTAATGCCTCCAACACCTTTGCCGACGGTTCCTAGCCCCAGTAATTATCTTCTTATGCCTTTCAAGAACAAACATGTCTGATGTATCCTATCCTAACCATCATCTGTGCACCAAATGCAGCCTTGGAGCATTATATTTTAGTACCCCTCAAGCTTGCACTAGACAAAGACAAAGAAATGATAATAAGCATCAAGGAAAAAATAGGTAGCAGATGGACCAAAAACTTTTACAAAGAGCAGGTTACTAGTGGAAACATAAGGCATAAGAAGGCAATACATAAGCAAAAATGCCAAGCAGAATGCAGTTAGAAAACCAAAAACTTTGATGGTCTGTTTAGGTATTGAGGAGTTGAGGGAGTGTATTCGGGTTAGGTCTGTCGTCAAAATCGTGAGAATGAACATAAAATATATGGAAAAAAAGGTTGGTCTTGCTGGTGGGTGGTAGGAGCCTTGTGTGTGAGCCATCTCCTGTTAACAGTTTGGTTTTCCTTGAAGTTCCGATTGTTTAAATCACAAATGCACGCACATGTAGAATTCCATAAGGCCTTGGGCTTCAGCCTACACTGGATTTTAAGCAGATGGAGACGTAGTAGAGGCTGCATTGGTTTGACTCTGATCATCATCAATCCAACATCTTGACTGGACCAGTTGGCCAAGCTCATTTAGGCATGAAATAAAGATATAGATAGAACCCCAAATTGATATTCTGGCCTGTTCTTGTGTCATGAACTTAGCCCCAGAAGTTCACGACAATGTTTGAGGGCTGGGTCAGGTTGCCATAAACTCATGTACAAGCCCACTTCATTGATACTCAGCTTCACATTTTGTCACGTTACCATGTATGAGTTTAGAAGTCATAAATTGTAACGATCCAGATCCGAACATCTATTATTTTAATAATTTTTTGAATCTAATCACATGATTTAAATTTTTATATAAATATTAATAATTATATTTATATTTGATATAAGATAAAGTACAGCATAAACTATAAACAAATACCTCGTACAATTATTGAAAAATTTACGATTACCTAAACGTACTAAAATGTTGAGTGCACAACCCACATTGATCACAAAATTATTAAGACAAGAAGTAGCACATGCAAAAACTCTGCCAAGACAAGCTTTCAAGCAAGAAATTGACCAAATTTTGATCCCAAAGAAAACTTAGATCATCCAAGGGAAATATTCAACCATATGTAGGGTTTCCAACTTATATCCCACTGGAGCAGAGCAGAGTGTAGACCCGGAATACACCCATCAATTATTTTGAAATAATTTGACATCATCGCTTAACTTCACCATCCCTCAAATGGGATATAATAATAGTAACGTAAGATTGATTCAGTAAATTTGTTCGTTCAATATAAGAAATTTTGAATGTGGGTATTGATAATCCTTTGTTTACATTATCCAAAACAAGTAAAAAAAACTGTACATTTACATCATAACTGGAGAGATGAAGCAATCTATCTATACTTATTCTGATATAGAAGAAAGAAAAGGGCACTAAACATGAGGCTACTGTGTATGGCATCTGCACTCTGCAGCATGTGAAAATTTCCCCCGCCCTTTCACCCATGGGCCTTTTGGTAGCCCCTTCATCCCTTTCCCTCCGTAAATGATTGGTCCCAGTCTCTGCATGTTTTCACGTGTCCTGCCATCCCCATTGCCGTTAATTACACCATCATCACCATCAGCCACTGCATAGGATTCTAAGGACCCAAGAAAATAATACATACTCATTTATAAAGTATCCTTTTCCAACCCCCGCTTGTTGGTTGTTTCCCTCACTCTCATGCCTGGAGAGTGGATACCACTTTCTTTACATCTTCTTCTTCCTTTCTTATATTTTCCTTCTTCAAATCATGTGTTTATTCGATTGGAATGTTAAATGTTTGAATAAAAGATTAGTGATATAGAGATATGTTGTCGTGTTGATTTGATAATTATGAAATATATGTCGAAATGTTCGATAAACTGTTACATAATAAGAAAAAATAAGTTATAGAGTCATATTTCTTTTTTAACATGTCTTGACGTATAGAAAGTAAAAAATATTTCTAATGTGATTTTTTTGGGTCATTAACATATCAAATAAATTTTATTAATTTTGCAATAAATACTAATATAGTGTCTAAGTTTTATATTTAGGTATTAGTGATATATTGATTTCTTAATCCAAAATTTCAGCAACTTAAACTTTAATTGTGCATCTATGACTTGCCCTCTGATTGGACAGTGACTTCACTTCCCCACCAAAAGGGTGTGGTGGGCTATCTTTTCTCTTCCACGACAGGACAAAATCCTTGATAAATGAGAGAGAGAAGGAGGA